TCCTTGTTGAAACACCCTCCCCCAGTTCAGCTGGGAGTGCACTGAAATGTGATTTAGAGGTTGTAACCATCCTCCAAAGTCCCCCCGCCCTTGGGTGCGCTGATGTTGAGAGCTCCAGGCCTCTCCATCACCCCGGGGTGCATCGCTCCTTCTCCCCTGTTCTCCCCCCGGCTCGTCCATCGATGGCAGGAGAAACCCAGATGAGCGCCTTCCAGCAGACGTGCGACTTTTTAATCAGCGCAAATAAGACGAGAGGGGCGCTGAGCTTTTGCAGACAACAGCTTTTCTCCAGTGGGCTCATTACGGGATGGAGGACACCACGGGAGGTAACGAAGGAGCGATGCAAGAGGATCTGTTTAATTCCTCCCACCCCTGAGCATCCCCAGCCTCCTCCTCCAGCTGTGATGAATCCATGGGGAAGGATCCAGCCTTATTTTGACTGTGGTTTCCAGGACGGTGTCTCTGTCTGGTAAAGATTTATGGCAGGAGGAGGAGAGTGATTAGATTGGGCCCCATCTATGTGTCGTGGAGAAAGACCTGCTTTACAAGGAAATAAACTCAAAGCAATTAACCGGGGAATTAAGATTTAGCGCAGGCTACGAGCAGCAGGCATGTATAAAGGAGACAGCTGTTAAATTTAGTATGTGACAAAGTCATGCGAACACTAACTGGATTACTTGCATTTATTTGGGAATACTTATGTATTTTATTATGCGACATATAGATCACCATAATTCTGCTTTTCGCTCCGACGGCACCTCTCCTCCGAGCGTCTTAGAGAGCATTACAAACAGTTAAGCCTTGCCTGCGCCTCTGCGCAGCGCTCGACGCTGTATCTGCTGTGTGGGTATCAAATATATTTTAGATTGGAGATGGCTTAATTAATGTGATTGATTTTTAACTCTTTCTGGCCCGAAGCCCCTAGTTGCAGCTTTTTCTGGTGTGATTGTGGAGTCCATGGGGATGAACTAGCCTGGAAGTCGCCGGAGTGAGTTTTGCAGGGATGGAAATCAATCCATCCATCCATCCATCCATCCATCCATCCCCCAGGGATGGTGATTTTGACCCATTTTGATCAAAATAAAAGGGAGAGGATGAATGCTGGGGAGGAGAGCGTGGCTTGGGTGGTGGCTCCACGTATGCTCTTGCAGTGTCACCCCCCGCTCTGCAGCCACCTTTGTGTGTCCCCAGGAGCCTTGGAAGTGGCACAAGCTGCTTTTCAGCACTTCCAGCCTCCTTCCCTGGCAAGGAGTGACAGATAACTGCCTCCAGTTGCATCTCCGGGGAAGAGTTTAAGGAGGCAGTGTGTAATCCTGCCTGCTGAGTTTGGTCCAGACACTCTCAGACGTTATTAATCCTTTGTATCAGGCCATCAGGGACCGGCAGCCCGCTCTATAAAGGCGCTGCAGAATGGGAGGGACAGTCCCTTCCCGGAACAGTTTTCAGTCTGAGGGGATGGCAGAGGGACAGACGTGTGGATGGAGGATCTTCGGGAGCCGACATCCAGACCACTGAGAAGCTCCTGTGGACCACGCCAGCTGTTTTAACAACCTCAGAGAGGCAGCATCTCTAATTTTAAGTCTCCTGTGGCACCGCCCTTGGCACCGAGGTGGTTTATTCGGCAGGTCTGACACCTCAGCCTTTCCCACCGACCACGCTGGTGCCAAAAACGGGAGCAGTTTGCGCCTCCTCTCCCAGCAGTTTGCTGCAGCTCCTGCTTGAAGCATCCTCTGCTCCTCCTAAAAGGGCTGAACTGGGATGCCTGCCAGGGGATGGGGCTGTAACACGCTTGCCCACCCCTCCAACCCTGCCTGAGTGTTGAGCAGAGTGAGTGCTGGACCCGGGGTGGGTAAAAAAACCCATTTAAACCCTATTTTCGGTTGCGTCATTCATGGAGGACTTGTGGGACCTGCGACAGCATCACCACAGCCCTTCCACCCCTGTTGATAGCTCCGAAAGAACAGGTTGTATCCGCTCCCTCAGTCACACCGAAGCAGCCAATTTATATAAATAAAGCACTTATTAGGGCAACGACAACTTGTCAACACGTGAAAACAAGCGACAGGTCGGCTCCAGGAGCAGCGACCAGGCGTCTCGCCCGGGCTCAAAGAGGTGACAGCACACAGACGCACGCACACCCGGTTTTATATCCCCGGCTTGTGCTGCACGAAGCAACGCCAGGCACATTACTAGCCCTATTTTCCATTTATAGGAGCCTGTCAGAAATGGCACTCCTCTCCGAGCAGATGTCGAAAAATTAGAGGGAATTCAGAGAGCGGCAGGAAAAAAAAAAAAATGATTAAAGGAGATGGAGGGCCTGATTTTGGAGGGAAAAGAAATCAGCTGAGCTATTTATAATGCTGCCTGCACCAGGGTGGGTAGGAACAGGCAGTTTTTTACAGTGCCTCGATAGCTCAGCTAAGGGGAAGGGGCCAACCAGCCTCTGAAGGCTACTCGGGGGAGCGCTGCAGAGGGGCTGCGTGAGAGGGTGTAAATCCCGAGCGATGGGATGAAATGGCATCAAACACGAGTGTCTGGGGAATGGCTGGTAACGGGTGAGTGCAGGGGACAGTCGCTCATCCAGAGTGAAAAAAACAACAACAAAAAAAATGCCCTGGTAAAGCCGTGTTAAGGGGTGGGAGAGATGGCAAGCCCCCGCTCCTACCTCTGCTCTCGGTGACAAACCGCACTTGTATTTACATCCAGTGTTTTACGCAAAACGTGGTGGCGGGGGTGGAAATCCTCACTTTTTCATCCAAAAGCAAATGGTTTTGGTTAAAAAAAAAAACAAAAAACAAAACCAACCAACCACTGCCTTGAAACTCAGGCCTTCAGCTCCAGAGGCTCGCGGGAGATGCTGCGGCCGTTTGCCGGGCTGGGGTCCCCCACTGAGAGATGGAGGGGACCAGCCTGCTTCGGGGTGATGCATCCCCCAGGGGAGCAAAGCATCCTGCCCCTATTTCCAGATTTCCTGATTTGCCGACTAAGAAGCAGCTCGTGAAGGTGTTGGGGGTGTAACATCGCCCATTCCTCAGCGAGCCCCACGTCCCATTGGCGACTCCTCCATCGCAGCCTAAGGGGGTCAGAGCGAAGGGGTTTCGTGGGGGCAGTTTGGGTTTTTCTGTGCTGAGGGAAGCTGCCTAACGCGGGTTTTGTCTCTCTGGTTGCCTTGCAGGACCTCTCACTCCAGGGCCAAGGCGGAGGCGGCTGTGACGGCGGCGCAGAAAGCTCAGGAGGAAGCGCGGATCGCCAGGATCACTGCCAAAGAGTTTTCGCCTTCCTTCCAGCACAGGGAAAATGGTCAGTGCGTGCCACCGTGCCGGCCGGCTCCGCGGCCGTGGCTTTCACCCTGTGTGGCTCTCTGCCCAGCTCAGCCCTGTAGAGACCCCAAACCCCCCAAAAATGAGCCCCGTGTGGAGGTTCGGTCTGTGCTTGCCGCTCCCGGTCCTCACCGGGACGCTTGGGCTGGGAAACGGGCCCGTAACACCAGTTTTCGGGGGTTTTAGCACAAGGCTTTCAATATTCAACACTTCCACCCTGTGCAGTCCTGTCATTACAGGGATCTCCTCTTTTCACACCAAAACACCCCCATTTTTATAAGTCGTAGTCCTTGATGGTTGCACATAAAAAACCCAAGCGCTCTGAAAGCAAAATGGAAACATAAATGATCCCTGAGGCGGTCACTGATTTTACACCCTTGGCTTTGACGGTTCCTGATTTCTTTTAAACACTTGGGCTTGCAGAGCCGGGGGCTGCATGGGTTTGTACCCAAACCCTCCTTTGGGCGTGCAAACCAGCGTGCAAAGGCACCGGGGAAACGCGCATTTGAGGTTTTCCTGGTGGTTCTTCCTTCCCTCCATCATCTTCGACGTTTCTGACTGGTTGGTCCAAATTTTTGCTTGTTGACAAGAGGCCGAGGCTCAGCAAAGGCTCGGGGAGGAGGAAGCTGGAGCGGAGCCGTGGTCGGTCAGGGGTCTGCAGCCAGCGGGTGCACAGGGAGGATTCACCCCACGAAGGCTGCGCCTCTCCGGGGCTGCTGCGAGTGGGCGTGGAGAGCTCCAAGTCCCCACAGCAATAATTAACATAGTAATTAATATATGTGAATGGTTTTATTCAGAAGTTTTCCTTCACCGAACCCTCATTAGGAGGCATCTATCATTATTTTCTCCCCCTTCCAGCTCTCTGACTGAAGATTACTCATTCGGTTTAATTGCTCCAGGGGCTGGTGCCGGTGACTCACGTCGGTGCCAGTCCCCGAGGCCGGGGAAAAGGGATTTTTTGTGTCTTTTGGACCAGGCAGCCCATGCACGAGTCCTCACTTAACTGCAGCAGGGAGGCCGTGGGGGCGGCCGAGGGCACCCCACGGCTCGGCGGGGATGAGGAGCGATGAGCCAGACGGGTTCTGAGGTCTGGCTCCAGCCCTGAGCCTGCCGGGGCTGGGACCGTGCGCGTAGCAAAGCCCCATCCCGAGACACGGCCACGTGTGGACGGGCACTTTGGGGGGCGCAGCGCGCAGAGCCCCTCGCAGCCGAGCTCTCTGCTCGCTGGAAGAAGGCGCAGCCCTGTTCAAACACCCCTCGGCTTTTCTCCTGCAGAGGCCCAATTTGTCTATCAGAGATCTGAGCTTTTTTGCAGGGCTGCGTGGTCCCAGGGGCTTCTTCAGCCCTGAGATATTCCTCATCTCCATTTCCTCTTGCCAAAAGACTTTGCTGTTTTAAATCACCTCTTGAAAAGATATTTTTAGGTAATGCATTTTTTACTAGCTTCTAGACAGGGACATAGTGCTTGACTTGTGTTGGGGCTTGTGTTTCTGGTGCTCACGTCTGGGTGGGTTGTGTGTGAGTGAAGTGGGGGGG